TTTTTTTTTTTTAATATATCTTTATTGTTTCAGAGGGAGGAAGGGAAAGGGGGAGAGAGAGAAACATCAACGATGAGAGAGCCATTGGTGGGCTGCCTCCTGCACGCGGGGACTGGGGATGGAGCCCCGGCCTGTAACCCCGGCAGGTGCCCTGACTGGGAATCCAGCCGAGATCTCCTGGGTCCTAGGTTGATGCTCCACCGCTGAGCCACACCGGCGCCGCAGGACTTGCATCTTGAAGGCTAAGGTTACCTTCCTTCCTTCCAGCCAGCCTGCGTGTGTTGGGTGGGGGAGGGAGGCATTCTTTCCACTGGTAACAAAAACAACTCTACACTTGCAATCCCCCTTCCCTAAGCAGTGGTACAGAGTGTTCACAGGGAGGTGGTGTTTACTTCCAGAAGGGGGTGTTGACAAGTTTTCTTAAAATGAGCACTCTATCTCAAAAAAATTAATTTATTAAGTGTGATTTTTTTCAAAAGAAACAATTCCAATGTATTGGTTTTTTAAAAATAATTTTATATTTTTAACTGAGATATAATTTGCATACCATAAAATTGGCACTTTTAAGTGTACGATTCAGTAGTTTTTAGTACATTCACAAGTTTTTGTGACCATCGTCGTCATTGCCTAATTCCACAGCATATTCGTCACCCCAAAAAGAAACCCAGTTAGTGGTCACTGCCCATTTCTCCCATCCCCAGCTCTTGGCAACCACTAATCTACCTTCTATGTCTATGGATTCAGGTCAGTTCACATACACGGAATCAGACAATAGGTGGCCTTCTGTCACTGGCCTCTTTCGCTTACCATGTCTTCAAGGTTCACCCACACTGCAGCATGTATCAGTGCTTCACTCCTTTTCATGGCCAAACAATATTCCCTTGTATGGAAAGACCAAATTTGTTCTTCCATTCATCAGCTGATGGACATTTGGATACTTTTTAGCTATTATGAATATTGCTGCTGTGAACATTCGTGTACAAGTTTTTGTGTGGATATATGTTTTCAGTTCTCTTGGAGTGAAATTGCTGGGTCAGATGGTTACTCAATGTCTAACTTTGTGTGGCTGCACCATTTTATATTTCTACAGCAATGTGTGAGGGTTCCAATGTCGTCACATTCTCCTAACACTTGGCTATCTGCTTTTGGATTCTGCCATCCTAGTGGATGTGAAGCGGTGTCTCATTGTGGTTCTCTGATAATGATATGGGACATCTTTTCATTTGCATATCCTCTTTGGAGAAATGTCCATTCAATTCCCTTGCCTATTTTTTAATTGAGTTTCTCTTTTTGTTATTGAGTTGTAAGGGTTCTTTATATATTCTAGATACTAGAAACTTATCAGCTTAATTTACAAAATTGTTCTACCATTCTGTGGGTTGTCTTTTCACTTTCTTGATAGTGTACTTTGAAGCACAGAAGTTTTTATTTTGTCAGTGTCCACATTACCCATCTTTTTTTCTTTTGTCGGTGTGCTTTTGGCGTCCTATCTAAGAAACCGTTACTTCATCCAAACTCATGAAGATTTACAGCCAAGTTTCCTTCCTTGCCAGTATCAGATGGATTTGGTTTCTGTAGCATTGTAGTAAGTTTTGAAATGGAGGACTGACATTGTTTTTTCCTTTTCAGTATTGTTCTGGCTGTTTGGAGTCCCTTGCAATTCCGTGTCAGTTTGAGGATTAGCTTTCCCATTTCTGCAAATAAAGCCCACTGAGATTGTGACAGGGATCGTGCTGCATCTGTAGATAAATTGGGGGAATAATGCTATCCTAATGATGTTAAATCTTCTTATCCATGTATATGGGATGTCTTCCCACTTAATTAGGTCATCTCTAATTTCTTTCAATGATGTTTTGTAGTTTTGAGTGTACATTAGATTTGATTTTGCATTTGAGTCATAAAAGGTAGATTGTCGTAGGCATAGGTTATCTTTTTGTACCTAACTTTTAAAATCATTGATTATGAAATATGCATACTGCAAAGTGCCTAACATATAACTGTATGACTTAATAAATAATTATAAAGCAAATACCCATCCAGAGTGATAAATATTAATATTACCAGGACACCAGGAACCTCTTCCCAAGCCTCTTTCTTCCTCCTCTGTCATTCTCGTGTTTGTTTTTTGGTGTGTTGTTTTTTTTTTAACTTTTAAAAAAATATATATCTTTATTGATTTCGCAGAGAGGAAAGGAGAGGGAGAGAGAGAGAGAGAAACATCAGTGATGAGAGAGTCATTTCTCAGCTGCCTCTTGCACACCCCCAACTGGGGCTCGAGCCCGCAACCCAGGCATGTGCCCTGACCGGGAATCGAACCCCGATCACCTGGATCCAATATCGACGCTCAACTGCTGAGCCCCGGCCAGCCGGGCTCGTGTTTGTTTTTGTAACCATTCATGTATGCATCCCTAAACAATGAGAGTTCGCCTGTCACTGAATGTCATATAATTGGAATCACACTCTACACTACATTTTGCATCTTCTGTTTTTTGCTCGACACTATTTTTGTGAGGTTCATCCACGTTCTTGCAGTTCATTCATGTTCATTGCTGTGTACTTTTCCATGACATAAATAATACATTTATCCATTCTACTGTTTTTGGACATTTGGGTGGTTTCCAGGTTTGGGCTATTAAAAGTCATGCTGAAATGAGCTTAAGCTCTTTCTTAATCTGGAAAATAGTTACTAGAAACAATTCTCAGCAGTTTGAGCGAGCAGACTCATGGACTTGGCCCTGCGGAGAGCCAAAGAGCAGCTGTGTTCCTTCCGAGTCACTCGGAAGCTGCTGACCTCCTCCTGAGAGGACCCCAGGCCATAAACAGACCCTGGCTGTCCCTGAAGCCTCTCAGCTTTTTACTGGCGTGAATAGTTTCAAGGTTGGATTGTGCAACTGGCCCTGGGCTTTGAAACAGGGCTGGGCAAGAGCCTAGGGTGGACTTTCTCCCCAGATCATAGTCATTTAATCTTTAGGGTATTTGTCGGGGGGGAAAGGACAGGAGAGGTCTCCCGGCCAGCTGCTCTGTGGGCAGATCAGGCCTGACTGTGTCTTTCCTGCTTTATGGAGATGAAAGCACTCTGCCACCTCCCCAGGCGAGCGGCTGGCTCTTTCACAGGCAGGTTAGATCAGATTGCTTGGTTTCCTTTGCACTGGAAAACAGCATTCGAAGACCATCCCACTGCTAGGGGGGAAACGGGAAAGACCTGCGATGACATAGCTTCAAGTCGCTTAGACCTAAGCTTGGAGCGGACTTTCCACAGTCCCAGCTCACTGATGTCGCCGGGATGGGTCCCGGCATGAAGCAGGAGGTGAGAATCACGATTCCTAAGTTGCCGGGTGATCTTAAGCCACCCAGTGTGGCCTCCCCCTAAGGGAGCCAGTGACTTTAGGCTCCCAGTTTGTCATCAGAGTTCCTGGGCTCTGCTTCTCCTACCCCAAGGGCTGCTAGTCCTCCAGGGAGCCTGACCAACAAGAGCAGACCCAGAGAAAGC